GCTTGGATATATTGAAGAAGTTTTCAAGGTTTTTGGGGGAAGAACTTTTTTAAGATATGGGATAAGAGGAAGATTTGATAAAAATCTGGTCTGATGGTATCAGTTTTAAAAGGTTATCGTCTGGATGGTTTCTATATCTGATCTGATGGCTTCTATATCCAGAGGCTTATATGTGTGGATTTTGAAAATTGTAGAGATATAAAATCCAACATTTTTTCCCCAATGTTTAAGGAGTGTTTATACCCTACACAACTATGTTGTCAGGGTATTATAGCTTTGTGCAGCCCCAAAAATTTGTAACGCCGCGAAATATTGGTCCTAGACCCACATTTAAGTATACCGATCGTCATATCTCGTCTAGCTGAGTCGATCTGGACATGTGTGTGAAGTTCGTCCGTCTGTCCATTTTATTTTGTAAACACGATACAGGCCACAGTTCACGAAATTTTGCATGTTGGATGGGTTCTGGCCAATGAAGACCCCTATTGTTTTTGATAAAGATCGGTTAATATCTAGGGGATGAAATGGACCAAATACTTAATTTTTATCGGTTTTTCTGGTCGCTCTAGAGGCCGCAATTATGACCCAAACATCGCGAATATTTACATATAGAAGGGGATCGGGCCAAAGAATAAACATGCCTGTTTTGATAAGGATCGGACAATATTTAGAGGATCAAATGGACCCTGACTTTTGTGTGAAAAATTACAAAATTTTTATTCTATAGCTTATAGATTTACCCCTGAAGGACATAGACCCGAAAAGTTGTTGGTACATCCAATGGCTTTGGTTGACCTGTAAATTGATACCAATTATATGGTCGTATGTACTCAGATGTGGGAGTTGCACTTAAATATTTACAGGTGTTTATGTATTCAGATATTATTTAGTAATCCTTTACCACACTAGAGGGCGGAAATGTAGCGCTGATAGCTTTAAAATGTTCCATGATGTTCTAGTTATGGTCAAGGATAACGCCTACAATTTTCGGTGACGATCAGAAAATTATAATGTGATGAAGTAGACCGAAAACTTAATTTTTTGTGTATTTTCGAGTCGATCTATAGGCTCCAATGGGAATAAGAAGATTACAATACAAGGGAAGGGAATCTGGACAAGTAATTAGAAGGGCTGTACTGAATATTAGTAAGAAGTTTTGTTAAAATCGGTTCAGATATAGATATAGCTCCCATATAATTTATTTTCCGATCTAATGTAAAGGGTTCACCAATGACCCTATATATCTTTCGATTTACACGAAATTTGGCATAGCGTACTAAATTAAGCCTAGAATGATGTCTGCGAAGTTTTGTTAAAATCGGATCGGATTTAGATATAGCTCCCATATAAAGTTTTGTCCGATTTAATGTAAATGGCCCACCAAATTCCCTATATATATTCCGATTTGAGCGAAACTTGGCCCAGCGTAATGAATTAGGCCTAAAATGATGTGTGTTAAGTTTCATGGAAATCGGTTTAGATTTAGATATAGCTCCCATATACATTTTCGTCCGATTTTAGGTAAATGGTGTACCAAAGTCCCTATATATTTTCCGATTTGCACGAAATTTGGCACAGCGTACTAAATTATGTCTAGAATGACGTGTGCTTAGTTTCGCGGAAATCGGTTCAGATTTAGATATAGCTCCCATATATATTTGTGTCCGATTTAAGGTAAATGGTGTACCAAAGTCCCTTAATATCCTGCGATTTGCACGAAATTTGGCACAGCGTACTAAATTATGTCTAGAATGATGTGTGTTACGTTTCCTGAAAATCGGTTCAGATTTAGTTATAGCTCCCATATATATTTTCGTACGATTTAATGTAAATGGCTCACCAATGTCCCTATAAATCTTGCGATTTGCACGAAATTTGGCATAGCGTACTGAATTAATCCTAGAATGATGTTTGTTAAGTTTCCTGTAAATCGGTTCAGATTTAGATATAGCTCCCATATATAGTTTCGTCCGATTTAAGGTAAATGGTGCACCAAAGTCCCTATATATTTTCCGATTTGCACGAAATTTGGCACAGCGTACTAAATTATGTCTAGAATGACGTGTGCTTAGTTTCGCGGAAATCGGTTCAGATTTAGATATAGCTCCCATATATATTTTCGTCCGATTTAAGGTAAATGGTGTACCAAAGTCCCTTAATATCCTGCGATTTTCACGAAATTTGGCACAGCGTAATAAATTAGGTCTAGAATGATGTGTGTTAAGTTTCCTGGAAATCGGATCAGATTTAGATATAGCTCCCATATATATTTGTGTCCGATTTAAGGTAAATGGTGCACCAATGTCCCTGTATATCTTTCGATTTACATGAAATTTGGCACAGCGTAATTAATTAGGTCAAGAATAATGTGTGTTAAGCTATCTTGGGATTTCACCGAAATTTGGCCCAGCGTAATGAATTAGGCCTAGAATGATGTGTGCTAAGTTTCCTGAAAATCGGTTCAGATTTAGATATATCTGAGTAAATGAAAAATTTAGTATCGGTTGCAGAATGACATGTTTATAGATCCAATTTTATTTTACTGATCCTTTAAAAATGCGACGTCTATTAGGATTCATCTGTTGAATATACCCAAAGTGGTGAAGGGTATCATGTAGTCGGCCCCTATACTATAATACTATCCTTACTGTTTTTTTTTTTAATTTGTCATAAAAAGAATCGATGTGGACCGATATTTACAATGTCTTGGATTTTTAAGACATTTTTCAAAGGCTTTAAGATAAATTTTTAAATACTTTTGTCCGGAGGCTGGCCTAGATTTTTAAAGATATGTTCAATGACTTAAACGTGTGGATTTTTAAATATCTTAATTCGAACATTTTTAACGGATTTTCCAGAGACCTTAAAATGAGAATTTATAAAGGATTTTCTATAGATTTAAAAATAAGGGTTTCTAAAGGATTTTCCACAGTCCTAATCCTTGGATTATTGAAGAAAATTGCCAGAGGCCATATTGTGTATGAAGAATTCTCTAAAAGCCAATAGACGTGAATTTTTATAGCATTTTTTCACAGGACCGACAAATAATTTTACAGTCCCTACGGTTAGAAAATGAGCATAAAAATTACAAAATACCGAAAATATGGCTGTACCAAGGGATCTACACCGAAATTTGGACCGATATTGATTATTTTTGGTAGGAAGATTTGACGCCCATCGCAAACCCAAAATATCGCGAACAAAATACCAAATTACAGCGAATTCGGTTGAAAAACGCGCTCAAGAACCCCAAAATACCGAAAATTGAGGGTGCCCTTATATGGGGGCTAACCGAAAAAATGGACCTATATTTATAATTTTTTGTGAAGAAATATGGTACCCAATAAGAACCCATTGAACCAATTTTCGGTTTAAAAACTCGCTTAAAAATACCCCCAAAATACCGTAACTTGGGGGTACCGTTATATGGGGGCTATGCCTAAACGTGGACCATTATAGCCCATCTTCGCCCAATTTGTAGTAAAGACTTATGGTAACCAAAAAAACCCAATGTGCAAAATTTCAGCGAATTCGGTTGAAAACGCGCTCAAGAACCCCTAAGTACCGAAAATTGGGGATGCCCTTATATGTGGACTACCCGAAAAAATGGGCCTATATTTATAATTTTTAGTGGAGAAATTTGGTACCCAATAAGAACCCATTATATCAAATTTCAGCGAATTCGATTTAAAAACGCTCATAAAACCCCCCAAAATACCGTAAATAGGAGGGGGGGTACCATTATATGGGGGCTAGCAGAAAAAGTGGACCGATATTTATAATTTTTAGTGGAGACATTTGCTACCCAAAAAGAACCCAATGTACCAAATTTCAGCGAATTCGGTTGAAAAGCGCGCTCATGAACCCCAAAATATCGAAAATTGGGCGGTACCTTTATATGGGGGTTATGCCTAAACGTGGACCGTTATAGCCCATCTTTGAACTTGACCTGCCTGCAGACAAAAGACGACTCGATGAAAAATTTTGGCGATCTATCTCAATTCCTTCAGAAGATAGCGTAATTACAATAAACCGCCGGACATGGCTAGATCGTCTTAGAATTTTTCCCCCGATCAAGAATGTATATACTTTATAGGGTCGGAAATGAATATTTCGATGAGATACAAATAATATACCCTCCATACTATGGTGGAGAGTATAAAATCTAAGACTATTTATAGGCCTTGAAAGAAAATATTAAAAAAAACACGCCTATGTTGATAGTTAAAAAATTTAAAAAAACCATTTTAAAAAAATCCTTGAAAAATTTTATTAAAAAAATCCACGCCTCTTTATAGACCTTGAAAAATTTTATTAAAAAAATCTACGCCTCGTTATAGACCTTGAAAAATTTTATTAAAAAAAAATCCACGCCTCTTTATAGACCTTGAAAAATTTTATTAAAAAAATCCACGCCTCTTTATAGACCTTGAAAAATTTTATTAAAAAATCCACGCCTCTTTATAGACCTTGAAAAATTTTATTAAAAAAATCCACGCCTCTTTATAGACCTTGAAAAATTTTATTAAAAAAATCCACGCCTCTTTATAGACCTTGAAAAATTTTATTAAAAAAATCCACGCCTCATTAAAGACCTTGAAAAATTTTATTAAAAAAATATTTTTATAAAATCCACGCCTCTTTATAGACCTTGAAAAATATATCTAAATAATCCCCGCCTATTTATAGGTCCTGAATATAAAATTTAAATAGACCTTGGAGAAAGCCTAACTCCATGAACGAATTCTGTAATATCCCCTGACTATAGAAGACCTTAAATAAATTCCCATTCATAAAACCCCTTCAATTCTCCAGCTAACATCGATTTTGTTTCTATTTCCAATATAGTGTATCTGTGTGTGTGTATGTATATAGGAGGTCTGGGGGATTAGTTGCAGTTTCAATAAAATTCTTTAAGAGATTTTTTTAAAAAAATTTCCAAAGCCCTGGTCACATTTTCACACCTCTCCACTGCCTTAAAATAAAGGTAAAGTAGGGGTCTAATGATATTCCAAACGTGCCCTGGGTTTGCCTTTATCATCGACAAAGAACACCACAACCTTATGCGTCTTTTTGGCCATGAAAATGTCCTGCGGCGTTGTTTCTTTCGTTGTTGTGGTGGTCATTTGGGTACTTGTGGAAGTACTGGTGGTGGAACTGCTGCTGCTACTTGAAATCGGTCCACTCATGGCGACGCCATGGGTGGCATTATTCGCCATTGATTTATTTACCACACTACTCGAAGAATTTGTTACCACCTTGGAAGGTGGAGGAGGAAGCACTCCTCCTCCTCCTCCTCCTCTTCCATTTATCGTTGTTCCTGTTGTTTTATTGGCATTCGATGCTGTCGCTGTTTCATTGTTCAGTTTTTGTGTCGTCTCTTCGTTCGTTGTCACGGCAGGCGGTTTCCGTTCTTCACGTTCCGCTTTCATTTCGTTGTCTTTTTTACTCTGTTGTTGTTGCTGTACCTGTTGTTTTTTCTCCCCACCACCATCCATTTTCTTATTCTCCAATATTCGTTTAATCATTACATCCTTCCGTTTTGTCTTACCCTCATTGAAGGTGCTGTCCTTTCGAATGATGGGTTTCATTTCTGGTTTCGGGGTTTGAGGTTTCGGTATTGCCGGCAGTTCGGGTAAATCACATTTCTTTTTCAAATACCGATACACGGTTAGGACCCTCTCGACGAGGCGATTGATATATTTATTGGCCGTGCGATCGATGATGGATGGGGCTTTGATGCAATCATTGCCACCGAATTCACAGACCTATGAAAGGAGAGGGAAGGATTAGAACCGTAAAACAAAAATGGGTGAGCTAAAAATATTACCCGATAATGCTGCAGGATGCCATCGGTGGGAGGTACATTCAGCGATCCCTTCCCCGGGGCATATTCCCACACAAAATGATTGCCAGCCTCTACAACAGCCTCCGGCCGACAAATATATTTTGAACGTTGCTTCTGCGGGTGAAGTTTGAAACGTCTGGAATTGAGATAAAATTTTCGTTAATAGCAGCTCACAGCTAAATTATCTATTTGAAGATAATATCTAAACTTTATCTTGGAGAAGTGTATCTACATTATCTACAAGGCGCAGATAATGCACCTATATTATCTACATGGCATAGATAATGTATCTACGCTATATACATGGCGTAGATAATGTATCTACATTATCTACATAGCGTAGGTAATGTATCTTAGGTGTGGATAATGAATTTACGTCATCTACAAGGCGTAGATAATGTCTCTACGTTATCTACAAGGCGTAGATAAAGTATCTACGTTATCTACAAGCCGTAGATAAAGTATCTACGTTATATACAAGGCGTAGATAAAGTATCTACGTTATCTACAAGGCGTAGATAAAGTATCTACGTTATCTACAAGGCGTAGATAAAGTATCTACGTTATCTACAAGGCGTAGATAAAGTATCTACGTTATCTACAAGGCGTAGATAAAGTATCTACGTTATCTACAAGGCGTATATAATGTATCTAAGAGGTGGATAATATATATACGTTATCTAAAAGCCGTAGATAAAGTATCTAAGGTGTGAATAATGTATCTACATTATTTACAAGGCGTAGATAAAGTATCTACATTATCTACAAGGCGTGGATAATGTATCTGCATTATCTACAAGGCGTGCATAATGTATCTATATTATCTACAAGGCGTGGATAATGTATGTACATTATCTACAAGGCGTGGATAATGTATCTACATTATCTACAAGGCGTAGATAATGTATCTAAGGCATGGATAGTGCATCTTCGTTATGTAAAAGGCGTAGATAATGTATCTGCATTATCTACAAGGCGTGCATAATGTATCTATATTATCTACAAGGCGTGTATAATGTATCTACATTATCTACAAGGCGTGGATAATGTATCTACATTGTCTACAAGGCGTGGATAATGTATCTACATTATCTACAAGACGTAGATAATGTATCTACATTATCTACAAGGCGTAGATAATGTGTCTACATTATCTACAAGGCGTAGATAATGTGTCTACATTATCTACAAGGCGTAGATAATGTATCTACATTATCTACAAGGGGTAGATAATGTATCTACATTATCTACAAGGGGTAGATAATGTATCTACATTATCTACAAGGCGTAGATAATGTATCTACATTATCTACAAGGCGTGGATAACTTATCTAAAGCGTAGATAATGTATCTACATTATCTATAAGGCGTGGATAAATTATCTACATTATCTACAAGGCGTGGATAAATTATCTAAGGCGTAAATAATTTATCTACATTATCTTTAAGGGGTAAATAATGAATCTACATTATCTACAAGGCGTGGATAATGTATCTACATTATCTGCAAGGCGTGGAAAATGTATCTACATTATCTACAATTGCTGGATAATTTATCTTTGTGGTCTGATATCTTCTATTTTTTTATTACCCACCTCCTGGTCTTCCTTTGTGTCACCAAAGCTGCTCTCAGCTTGGCCAATTCCAAACTTTCACCCTTCTCCACCTTGGCCAATTGAGGATCGTCAGCAAATTGTAGATAGAAGAAGGCGTTTTGAAAGGAATAAGCTCCAGTATTCCGATTGCGAACACGATTGTTGAGGGAACTGCAAAGGGAGGGAGATCGAGATTTAAACTTTTCTCTGATTCGTAGATTTTTTGGCTTACCTCAATAACTCATTCAAGGTATCCACCTGCCTCGGCACAATAAACTCATCCAGGTCCACAAGAGCCAAATATTTATACCGATACATGGTACGATATAGACAATCATTCAGAGCGGCAAATAATCCCTCTGTGCGAATTTCCTTTTGTGAACGCATACGCAAGTTCCAGGGTAGGATTTCTATTGTGGGCTTATGGTAATTGGGGCTCTTAAAGATCTTGGGAGGTGGTGATGTTGCCGTGGGAGAATCTGGTAGATATATTAGACAAATTTTATTTAAATTTGTAACAAATTTCGAAGTTATGTTCTTACCTTGATATTTCCCCTTAGCCACCTCCATAACATCCTCTGCCGTAGAATTACCCGGTATATCACCCTTCACATAGTGATCCAAAATACACGACACATGTGGTCCAATAGTGTGATTATAAAATGTAAAATGTGACACACCCATCAGCGAATAGAATTCCAAATATTCCATTAGAAATAGCGACTGATCATAGTTGAAGTGGAACGGCTTCACACAGATCGCGATATCATCTTTGATCTCGTTTTCACTAGGGAACTTCGGTTTTGCTGCCACTGGGACGGAATTTGATTGCCGGACACTACTGGCCGATGATTGATTGGTGGATTTACTTTCTCCCGCTACCACAAAATCACGATCCCAATCGGTATTACGTAGCTCTAGGATGTTGCCTGGAGGTGCCCTTAACCGTGCCACTATACTAACATACTGAGGAACATCATACTCTTGCGGACGCACGGGACACAAGACGAAACATGCACTGTACTTGAGGCTCCAGTTTTCGCGGATGACCTAGAAAGGAGAGAAGATATATGAATATGGTGAAGATATTTTATCTGAAATGGATTGAAGACGTATATAATCTATCTACATTATCTACAAGGTGTAGATAACGTTTCTACATTATCTACAAGACGTGGATAATGTATATACATTATCTACAAGGTGTGGACAATGTATCTACATTATGTACAAGTCGTGGATAAATTATCTAAGGCTTAGAGAATGTATCTATATTATCTTCAAGGCCTGGATAAGGTATCTACATTATCTACAAGGCGTGGATAATGTATATACATTAACTACAAGTCATCTACAAATTATCTAAGGCGTGGAAAATGTATCTACTTTATCTACAAGGCGAGGACAATGTATCTACATTATCTACAAGGCGAGGACATTGTATCTACATTATCTACAAGTCGCGGATAAATTATCTAAGGCGTGTATAATGTATCTACATTATCTACAAGGCGTGGATAAATTATCTAAGGCGTAGATAATGTATCTACATTATCTACATGGCGTGGATAAATTATCTAAAGGGTAGATAATGTATCTACATTATCTACAAGGCGTGGATAATATATCTACATTATCTACAAGGCGTGGATAAATTATCTAAGACATGGATAATGTATATACATTATTTATAATGTATCTACATTATCTACAATTTGTGGATGATGTATCTCTATTATCTACAAGGGCTTGGATAATGTATCTACATTATCTACAAGGCGTATATATTGTATCTACGTTAACCACAAAGCGTGGATATAGTATCTAAGGCGTGCTTAATGTATCTTCATTATCTACAAGGTGTGGATAATTTATCTAAGACTTGGATAATATATATACATTATCTACAAGGCGTGGATAACATATCTACAATATCTACAAGGCGTGGATAAATTATCTAAGGCGTGGATAATATATCTACATTATATACAAGGCGGGGATAATATATCTACATTATCTACAAGGCGTGGATAATATATCTACATTATCTACAAGGCGTGGATAATATATCTACATTATCTACAAGGCGTGGATAAATTATCTAAGGCGTAGATAATGTATCTACATTATCTACAAGGCGTGGATAAATTATCTAAGGCGTAGATAATGTATCTACATTATCTACAAGGCGTGGATAAATTATCTAAGACGTGGATAATGTATATACATTATTTACAAGGCGTGGATAAATTATCTATGACGTGGATAATATATCTACGTTATCTACAAGACGTGGATAAATTATCTATGACGTGGATAATATATCTGCATTATCTACAAGGTGGGAAAAATTATCTATGACGTGGATAATATATCTACATTATCTACAAGGCGAGGATAAATTATCTAAGACGTGGATAATATATCTACATTATCTACAAGGCGTGGATAAATTATCTAAGGCGTAGATAATTTATCTACTTTATCTACAAGGCGTGGATAAATTATCTAAGGCGTAGATAATGTATTTACATTATCTACAAGGCGTGGATAATGTATCTACATTATCTACAAGGCGTGAATAAATTATCTAAGGCTTAGATAATGTATCTACATTTTCTACAAGGCGTGGATAAATTATCTAAGGCGTAAATAATGTAACTACATTATATACAAGGCGTGGATAATGTATCTACATTATCTACAAGGCATGGATAATGTATCTACATTATCTACAAGGCATGGATAATGTATCTACATTATCTTCAAGGCGTGGATAAATTATATAAGGCGTGGCTAATATATATCTACGTTATCTATAAAGCTCCGGAAATGATTTATAGTCTTAAATAATGTATCTACACCTTATTAAATGTGCTAAAAGTTCATCCGAGGGCTGGTCAATGTATCTTCATTATCTTTTTAATTTTATCTTCATAGCAAACTCACCTTTACCCTCGCCATAACAGTAACCGATGAATATTTTTCTCTCGCTCTCCCTCCGCCGCCGCCACCTGCTGCTGTTGCATTCTTTGCCACATACCAAAAACGACACCATACCCTTTCCGGTCCCCGCGTCTTTGTTGCTCCAATGATGCGCACCAATTTCGCCCCATCTCGCCGATCATAATAGGCTGAGAAAACGAAAAATTTAAAACGTGTTCCATTGACAATTTGCCATGAGCCATCTGTTGGCTCGGTGCCAATTGGAAAATGTGGTAGCGAGTCTTCTATTTTGGGTGGCAACATTTTACCCCATGGTATTAGGGGCCCATTACCACCAGCCATTTGAGAGGCTGAGCCCAGGCCCGTACCACCGCCAAGCCCAGCACCGGCATAGGCATTGCCAACACTTTGTGAATTTAACAAGACACCGGCCAAACGTCCACCGTTATTGCTGTCAGCATCTGTAATCATAAAAATCAAACAGAAAATCCATTGACATAAATTTTTCGACGATAAGGAGGGAAATTCGGCAAGAAGGAGGGGTAAACACACATGCATTGAATAAACACACAGCTCGGTATTAAAATATTTGCCATGGTGAACATTAACGTTGGCCCCCCAACCAAGCCAATGGTTGGTGGGTCGATGGTTCGGTCGGTTGGCTTGGCTCTTGGTAGTTGAAATGAAAATATTTTTGCTGAAAAGTTTTTCATCGATGGTTTTTCTGGTTATTATTTGAGTACTTCTTGTCCGGTCTTTTTTTTTGGCATGAATTCAATTGCGATTTTTCCTTCCATTCATTGGTTTCGTTTTTTTTGCAAAAACTTTTTTGGATTGGTTGGTCAGGATTTGCAATGCCAGTGTTTTTTTACTACGTGTTAACGTTTCAATTATGTATCGCTGTGTGTGTGTGTGTGCATATTACATTTTCCACCTTCTCTCCCCCTTCTCTTACCTCGGTTCAGTGTTTCTGATAACAATTTAATATTGTACTCACCTTGAATTTTAAATTTATTGTCATGAAGCTGCACAAAACCTAATTTATTATCATTCAATAGACCAGCATCGAGCAGATCATAGTCATCCTAGGTTGGAAAATCGTCCAAATGAAAAATAAATATTGAATTAAATCCATTCAGATTGATTGAAAGCTGTCATCAATTACCTTGACGTTATCATAGTCAGGCATTGAATCGCCAAAACGTCCGCCATAACCATTGCCACTGCGCATCATCATCATGCCGCCATGGGCACGTTCGTCAATCATAAATAACTGTAAAGGGAAGGGAAAAAGGGAATATTAATGGGACAACCATAAGGTGTGGATTTTTTAAATAATATTTTTCAGGGACTGGTTGGCTTTAACATGGCGAAGTTCAGGCTTATCTAGGTCCCTCTTTAATCTCAATTGTGGACACTGACCTCGCCGCGGTGTCACCTGGGGTAGCTATATTTCATCATAATATGTGCCCCGAGTTCACCCATAAGAACTATCAAAAAATGGGTTGAGGCATCGGGTTAGTTGTCCACACTCGGAAAACCCCTCCTACTATGAAAAAGCAAAGAAAAAGAAAACAAAAACCCCCTAATGTTAAACAACCCCCGCAAACATGTAAAGGACCACGATCTGCGAATCTGCACTTTGTACAGAATTGGCGCAGTTTTCGCTTCGGCAAATGTACTCAAGAAGTCCTAAGCCGATATTATTGCCTTACAGGAAATGCGATGGAAAAGGACAAGCGGAAGTAAATCTGACCATTACGCACTGTATTATAGCTGCCATGAAAGGAGACATAAATTTGGCTGCGGATTTATGGTCGACAGGAGAATAAAAGACCTCGTCTCCAGATCCACTCCAGTAGATAAGCGAATTGCTATAATCCGCATAAAAGCGAAGTTTTTCTACATCAGTCTCATTTGCGCCCATGCTCCGACCGAAGACAAAGATGAGCATAACAAAGATATATTTTACGATCGCCTAGAAACAGCATACGATCGCTGCCCTGGTCATGATATTAAAATTCTGCTAAAAGAATCGAAAATATCTTTGGCCCCACCGTCGGAAAATTCAGCCTTCATGAAGAAACATCCGACAACGGCATGAGGTTGGTCGCAAAAACATGGTAGTTAAGATCACCAAATACAAGCCTCTCGATATACACAAGCCCACCGGGATTTCTCCCGATCAAGCCACGAGAAATCAAAGGCAAGGCATTCATCCAGAGTATTAGACGTTCGATCGAGTAGAGAAGCGAATATCGATACGGACCACTACCTTGTAGCAGCCAAGGTTCGCACTCGTCTTAATGTTGCAGCAAAGGTACGATCTAACACAACACGAAAACTCGACGTCGAAAAGCTGCAAACGAAACAGATAGCCGAGGCCTACTCCGCTCAACTTACCCACCCGGTTGACGAAAGCATTTCTTGGCCCGATGATAATATAGAAGCACAATGGCAGATAATTACCCACTCCCTACAAACTGTAGCAAAAGCAACACTTGGATAGCAAAAACCACCAGCTAGAAACCCATGGTACGATCAGGAGTGTCGTAATACTACTGATGTGAAAAACGCACCGTATAGGGCAACCCTGCAGACAGTAGCAACACGTAATGTAATGGGAATTATCGGGAGAAAAGGAAAAACGTGTTTTCGGAAAAAAGAAGAAAGAACAAAAAAAACGTGAGCGTGAGCAAATCGAGATGTACAGGAGTCAGAATGAAGTCCGGAAATTTTACCTACGAGTTGAACACCAAACCGAAGGTTGTGGTGCAGGCACATCCTCCTGCAGAAATTAAGAAGGAAACCTGGTGACAGATACAGGCAGTGTGCTGAGGATCTGGAAGGATCATTTTGAAAAGCTTCTGGTATCAAATAGTGGCTGTGAAGAAGATAGTCCAGAACCAATAATAGATGACGGTATAGATTGTATACCCCCACCTAGCCAAGATGAGGTCATACAATCAATTACTCGGCTCAAGAACAATAAAGCAGCAGGAGCCGATGGGTTACAAGCCGAACTATTCAAGACTGTTGGTCAGATGCTGGGCAGGAGCATGCACCAGCTGATTAGTACAATCTGGCTAGGGGAATACATGCCCAATGATTGGAACCTCAGCATCAGGTGTCCCGTGCACAAAAAAGGAGACAAGACGTTATGTGCCAACTATAGAGGAATTAGCCTTCTTCCCATCGCATTTAAAGTGTTATCCAGTGTGCTGTGTGAACGATTGAAGCCAATTGCCAATGACATTATGGGACCATATAAATGAGGCTTCAGATCTGGTCCTTCAGATCCATTGACCAGATTTTCACTCTGCGCCAAATCCTGGAACAGACCCACGAAAAACACATCGACACATACTACCTATTCGTCGACTACAAAGCCGCATTTGACAGCCCTATCCGTTCAGTGTTTAAAGCCATGTCTACGTTCGGCATTCCTGCAAAATTAATACGGCTATGCAGGATAAATTTAAGTGACACAAGATCAGCAGTTAAAGTCGGAAAGGACGTATCAGAGCCCTTTAATACCGAACGAGGATTCAGACAAGGTGACAGTTTGTCGTGTGATCTTTTTAACATCCTGCTAGAAAAGGTCATACGAGACGCAAAGGTGAATGGAAATGGCACTCTGTACACCAAACCACACATGTTACTAGCCTACGGCGATGACATCGCTATAATGGGTCGAACATTGCGAGCGGTAACAGCCACCTTTGAACAAATTGATAAGGAGTCTGCCAAAGTTGGTCTGGCAGTAAACGGCGAGAAGACCAAGCTGATGTTATCAACGCGCAAGACGTCCAGTAGACTCGGACCAACTGTGGAACTTGAGAACTACAGCTTCGAGGTTGTTAAAGATTTTATATACCTTGGTACCGCCATAAATAAAACGAATCACATCAGTTTTGAAATTCGGAGAAGGATAGTGATGGCCAACAGATGCTACTATATTCTCAGCAAACAACACAAAAAAAGGCCACCTCCCGCCAGACCAAACTCACACTCTACAAGGCGCTGATACGGATCTGTTATATGGATCTGAAGTACTTGCGTAAGCAGACGAGGCAGCTCTTGGAGTGTTTGAGAGAAAAATTTTCCGAATGATCTATGGGCCGATCTGCGTTGACAGTGAATAACGGCGTCGAATGAACCATAAGTTGTACCAGCTATTCTCGGACATTGACATTGTTAGACGTATTGAGCTGCAGCGACTACGTTGGCTAGGTCATGTTGTGAGAATGTATGAAGATACCACAGCCCAGAAGGCATATAAAAGCGAACCTGCTGATTGTTCACGCAGAAGCGAAAGGCCACAAATCAGATGGAAAGACCAAGTGGAAGGCAACATAGCCGGCTATGGTCTTTCAAATTGGAAAAACTGAGCAAAAGACCGACGCGCCTGGAAATCTTTTTTAACCTCGGCTTATGGAACGAAAGTTCTGCCAGCTAAGTAATTAAGTGAGTATTTTTCAGGGACTACCATAAGGCGTGGATTTTTTAAAGAATATTTTTCAGGGACTACCATAAGGCGTGGATTTTTTAAAGAATATTTTTCAGGGACTACCATAAGGCGTGGATTTTTTAAAGAATATTTTTCAGGGACTACCATAAGGCGTGGATTTTTTAAAGAATATTTTTCAGGGACTACCATAAGGCGTGGATTTTTTAAAGAATATTTTTCAGGGACTACCATAAGGCGTGGATTTTTTAAAGAATATTTTTCAGGGACTACCATAAGGCGTGGATTTTTTAAAGAATATTTTTCAGGGACTACCATAAGGCGTGGATTTTTTAAAGAATATTTTTCAGGGACTACCATAAGGCGTGGATTTTTTAAAGAATATTTTTCAGGGACTACCATAAGGCGTGGATTTTTTAAAGAATATTTTTCAGGGACTACCATAAGGCGTGGATTTTTTAAAGAATATTTTTCAGGGACTACCATAAGGCGTGGATTTTTTAAAGAATATTTTTCAGGGACTACCATAAGGCGTGGATTTTTTAAAGAATATTTTTCAGGGACTACCATAAGGCGTGGATTTTTTAAAGAATATTTTTCAGGGACTACCATAAGGCGTGGATTTTTTAAAGAATATTTTTCAGGGACTACCATAAGGCGTGGATTTTTTAAAGAATATTTTTCAGGGACTACCATAAGGCGTGGATTTTTTAAAGAATATTTTTCAGGGACTACCATAAGGCGTGGATTTTTTAAAGAATATTTTTCAGGGACTACCATAAGGCGTGGATTTTTTAAAGAATATTTTTCAGGGACTACCATAAGGCGTGGATTTTTTAAAGAATATTTTTTCAGGGACTACCATAAGGCGTGGATTTTTTAAAGAATATTTTTCAGGGACTACCATAAGGCGTGGATTTTTTAAAGAATATTTTTCAGGGACTACCATAAGGCGTGGATTTTTTAAAGAATATTTTTCAGGGACTACCATAAGGCGTGGATTTTTTAAAGAATATTTTTCAGGGACTACCATAAGGCGTGGATTTTTTAAAGAATATTTTTCAGGGACTACCATAAGGCGTGGATTTTTTAAAGAATATTTTTCAGGGACTACCATAAGGCGTGGATTTTTTAAAGAATATTTTTCAGGGACTACCATAAGGCGTGGATTTTTTAAAGAATATTTTTTCAGGGACTACCATAAGGCGTGGATTTTTTAAAGAATATTTTTCAGGGACTACCATAAGGCGTGGATTTTTTAAAGAATATTTTTCAGGGACTACCATAAGGCGTGGATTTTTTAAATAATATTTTTCAGGGACGCCTTATGGTCGTGGTTTTTTTAAAGAATATTTTTCAGGGACTACCATAAGGCGTGGATTTTTTAAAGAATATTTTTCAGGGACTACCATAAGGCGTGGATTTTTTAAAGAATATTTTTCAGGGACTACCATAAGGCGTGGATTTTTTAAAGAATATTTTTCAGGGACTACCATAAGGCGTGGATTTTTTAAAGAATATTTTTCAGGGACTACCATAAGGCGTGGATTTTTTAAAGAATATTTTTCAGGGACTACCATAAGGCGTGGATTTTTTAAAGAATATTTTTCATGGAACCTGAATTTTTTAAAAAATATTTTCAGTGGTCAAAAAGAGGCCTGGATTTTTTGAAGAATATTTTTCAGGGACTACCATAAGGCGTGGATTTTTTAAAAATATTTTGTAAGGTTCTGAATTAAGACTCACCTCTGTTAAAATAATCAAACCAAAGACCGCAAAAAATGCTATCACAATCAGGAAACTCATGCCGGTACGTTCCCGCGTACCCCAATTATGTTTCTTGTTACGTTTCGAGGAAGACAGTGACATGGAAAAGCGGCTGCCCGAACTGCTGCCGCTGCCACCTTCACCACGACCATGATGATGGCCATGGCCATGGTGATGATAGTGTTGATGATGCTTCGTATCGCCACTTAACTTAGTATACTTCATGGTTATCACAATTTATTTATTTATTTCGAGGATGATGATGACGAAGAGGGGGGGTCCTTCTAATTTTTGTTTTTTAGGTTACTTCCTTGGGAAGTATGTTGACCTGGTTGTTATCGAATGTAGTGCTTGGAGCCCCCCAAATAATTTACTTTGATGCCGGATCTTTGCTTAAATTGTGTTGAGGGGGGCTCCAGGTTTGCTGCAGAATAATAATTTTTCTCCGGATTTTGAAAAGTTCTAATTTTTTCGATTGATTTTTATGTTTTTTATTTTTTCAATATGTAGCTGCTCTTGGAAGTAACCTCCTGGGCTTTGTTGATAAACAAAAAGTAATGTGTGCTTTTTGTTTTGTTTACACTCTCTCTCTCTCTCTTTGGCTTTATGTCCTTTTGCTCCTTTTCTGTTTTGCTACACCACCACCACCAACACCACTACACTCAAATCAAAACAATGGCATGCAACAATTGTTCCCGGCCGTTGAGTTGAGTTACGGATAAGGCCTGTCAAAACAAATGCCGGTTTGTTTTGGTAAACGGAGAGAGAGCGGCAAAAGAGCGAATCAGGATATGGAGAGCCTGTATCCCACTGCTAAACAGGTGTTTTTGCCGTTTACTCTTTGTCTTCGCTGTCCTTAACTTTTGCTGTTTCTCTGAGTAAACTCGGCTCTCTCTCTCACACAGGATATTTTTGGATGTGTATATATGAAAAATCAATAACACCCTTATTTGGTTGTCCACAAATTCTTCTTGGCTTTTTGGGGTTTCATGATTTCACCAAAAAAAAATTTTCCAAAAATTAACTTTTGATTTGAAAACTATTTTCACTATGACTTTATTTGGATATCCTCACAAAATTTACACATTCCGATTTTTCAATTATCATTTATTATAAACAATTCGGAATCATTTCCCGTTTTCAATTAAAATTTATTTCTGGTTTTCAATTAGAACTTCATTAAGGACTTCCTGTTCTGTATAGCTGGAGAACTTTTTTCTTTGGTTAGCAATTTTTTCTGTTAACTTTCTTGAATTTTTTTTAAAAACACACTTTCGATTTATTGTTCAAAAAAAAAATCAGATTTATTTATTTTTCTATATACAATTTATTTTTTTTACTTCCTTTTTGTGAGAATTAAAAAAATCTTTTTTTGTTTCTTTGTCAAAATTGTTTCAGTTTTGTCCACAACACACTTCTCACTTTGTCTAGAAATTTTCAGCAACTGTCAGTATTTTTCTTTTTGCTTCAACAGTTTTCTTTGAAAACCACAAAGGATGACAGGCACAGGACATGCGGCGCATGTCCTATGGAAGAGAGGAAATGGTGTTGCCAAATTGAAAAATGGGTAATTAAAAACGCTAATTGGACAACACTTAACATTTTTTCAATAGCCTCTAAGGCGTGGATTTTTTTAAATATTTTTTCAAGTCGTGTATTTATTTTAAAAATATTTTTTTGAAAGGCTATATACATGGCGTGGATTTTTAAAAAATATTTTTTTAAAGGCTCTATATTAGACGTGGATTTTTTAAATATTTTTTTAAAGGCTCTATATTAGACGCGGATTTTTTAAATATTTTTTCAAGACTATATATGAGACGTTGATTTTTTAAAAAATAATTTGGTAAGGGCTCTATTTTAGACGTGGATTTTTAAAAAATATTTTTTTAAAAGCTCTATATTAGACGTGGATTTTTAAAAATATTTTTTTAAATGCCCTATATTAGACGTGGATTTTTTTAAATATTTTTTCAAGACTATATATAAGACGTGGATTTTTTAAAAAATAATTATTTCAAAGCCTTATAGAAGGCGTGGATTTTTTAAAAATATTTTTTCGTGGTCTTTTAATAGGCGTGGATTTTTTAAAAATATTTTTTCGTGGTCATATAATAGGCTTGGATTTTTTAAAAATATTTGTTCGTGGTCTTATAATAGGCGTGGATTTTTTAAAAATATTTGTTCGAGGTCTTATAATAGGCGTGGATTTTTTAAAAATATTTTTTCGTGGTCTTATAATAGGCGTGGATTTTTTAAAAATATTTTTTCGTGGTCTTGTAATAGGCGTGGATTTTTTAAAAATATTTTTTCGTGGCCTTTTAATATGCGTGGATTTTTATACCCCTACACAACTATGTTGTCAGAGTATTATAGCTTTGTGCTGCCCCAAGAGTTTGTAACGCCGCGAAATATTTGTTCTAGACCCAACTTTAAGTATACCGATCGTCATATATCGACTAGCTGAGTCGATCTAGACATGTGTGACCATCCGTCCGTCTGTCCCTTATAATTTGTTAACACGATACATGCCACAGTTATGTACCAATCTTCACGAAATTGCATGCATGCAGGATGGATTCTGCCTAATGGAAACCCCTCTTGTTTTTGGTAAAGTTCGGTTAATATTTAGGGATGAAATGGATCAAATACTTAATTTTTGTCGGTTTTTGTGGTCGCTCCAGAGGCCACAATTATGGTCCGAACATCGCGAATTTTGCAATGGAGAAGGGGATCGAGTCAAAGAATAAGCATGCCTGTTTTGATAAAGATTGCTGCATATATAGCGGGTCAAATGGACCCTGACTTTTGTGTGAAAAATGACAAACTTTGCATTCTATTGCGTACTTATTTACTCCTGAAGGACATAGAGCAGAGACGTTGATAGTATATCCAAGAGGAGTGGTTAGTATATCCAACAGGAGTGGTATCGAAGGAGCTTTCAACAATGTGAAGCTACAGGCCATCCATTCTGCTCTCATAGTCATAGGTATCCCCTCACTCCTTACGGAATGGATTGATAGAATGCTGGAAAGCAGAATTATCAACTCATCCTTAGGAGAGAGTTCCGTAAGGAAATCTGTCAACAGTGGCACACCTCAGGGAGGAGTACTTTCCCCCCTTTTGTGGCTTCTGGAGATAAATGAGATACTTATGAAATTCAATCATCTCAGGATAAAGGCGGTAGCCTATGCCGATGATGTAGTCTTGTTGGTTGTGGGTATGTTTATAACGACAATATAAGATATCCTGGAGGGTTCCCTTCCAACCCTGTCTAATTATGCTTGCACCAAAGGTCGTTGTGTAAACCCCACTATAACCGAACTGGTGCTCTTCACTAGGAAGCACCGAATTCCTAGTTTCCGTCTGCCATCACTTGGAGGAGTGACTTTAACCCTATCTGATGAAGCTAAATATCTTGGCACTATCCTAGACCGCAAGTTACTGTGGAATAGGGATGTTGAGGAACTCTTCAAGAAGGGATTGCTGGCACTCTATTCATGCAGGAATTCCATAGGCAAGAGTTGGGGATTTAGACCCGCAATAATACACTGGCTGTATACAACGATCGTCTTACTTACTTATGGTTGTCTTGTCTGGTGGCAGGGGGTGAACAAAAAGAAACTGCTGACAAAACTGAGCTTAGTACAGCGATCGGCTTCAATTCTGATCACCGGAACGTTAAGAAGTACACCACATGCAGCCTTGAACGCAATCTTGAATCTCCAACCATTCGATATTCTGATCAAATTCCAGGCGGCCAAGTGTGCCCTAAGACTTCGGGAAACAGATGCCTTGAAATCGCTGAACTATGGTCATGCCACCACCTTAATCATAACGCCAGGTTATGACCTCTTTAGGGGGGATAGTCATATCAGTGATTATATTCCCCCCTGATTATATACTATAAATTCGAAAGCAGTTCATGATTGTAAGACCGCTCTGAATGTTATACGACAGATAGTTGGGCTATGCAGGGTTCCAGGACATAACGACATTGAATGGAATGAGATAGGCGACGAGCTTGCTCGAGGGGGGTCACAGTCGTCCAGTCTTCCGATTGAGAGATCTGTGAAACCCCCCCATTAGCTATTTCATTGGCAGAATCCGTGCTTTCCATTGCGAGGTAGTCGGTACAAAAAAATCCAAGTCTGCCCGTTTGACAAGCAATTTTCATTGATTTCAGAATGTGTATGGAGTTTTTTTTTTAATTGGTTCAAATATCTATCTAGATAGCACATTTAATTTCGCCCGATTGCATCTCCATAGTCCTCCAAAGATTCTATGTCTGTTCTATCTACAGGATTTTGTAGATATTAACATCTCTTGTATGTACCCAAAGTGGTGAAGGGTATCATATAGTCGGCCCCTCCAACTTTTCAACTTTCCTTACTGATTTAAACATATTTTTTCATGGTCTTATAATGGGCGTGGATTTTTAAAAAATATTTTTTCATGGACTTATAATAGGCGTGGATTTTTAAAAATACTTTTTCATGCCGACCACATCATTTTCTATTTAACTACAAATCCGTCACGCTTCAGTAATAAAAATTATCTTTAAACTAACAAACCGGCAATGGCAACGGTAAACACTAACCCTTTTGAAACGTGTTAACTAACAAGTTAACTGCGTTTGTAACCTCATCCCTCCCCATCACCATAACACTCCTTCCGCACATATTGTGTACATGTCCTAGTTTTGTTGTTATTTTTTTCCAGTACAACCTTTACGTCATATTGACGCAACAGCAAACAATGTTAAACGCCAACTATCAACCAAGTGATAAAACGTCATCCACCATATCACATTAAATCAGACAGTTTAATGGTAGTGATGAGGTCAAGCTAGTCTGCTGTCTGACACAGGCTGTGTGGGTGGAGAGGAAATATTCTATTAATAGATGGTTGTTAGGATTTACGACAAAAATGATAAGATTGAAAAATTATAAAAATCAATATTAAATTGGGAAAATGTGTTAAAAAATATATAGGCACTGACTAAAAATATTTTGTAAGCCAGTGAGCGGAGCAGTATAGTCGGACGGGGCCGACCATACGATACCCTACACAACTACCACGGAACTCTAACTTTCTGCGGATGTTTTTTCCGAGCCTGGGCAATATTTCGTGATATTTGCCCCTCTTGCCCGATTAGAGGTCCACAGGATCTCTTCCTTACATTTTCCGAATATTACAAATATTCAGTACAGCCCTTCTAATTA